GCTGTGCCCACAGAGTGGAATCCCCTAAATTCATGGTGTGAGCAACCTTGCTGCTGTTGGGAACCAAACCTGGGTAATCAGGAAGAACACTCAGTGTTCATAACTGCTGATCATCTCTCCAAACACTCGCTTTATTTTTTTTTATTATTTTTATTTTATATGTATGAGTGTATTGCCTGAATGTCTGTAAGTGCACCTGTGTCATGCGGTTCCCTCTATGTAGTCCTAGCTGGCCACCATGTACACCAGGATGGCCTCAAACTCAGAAATTTGACGGCCTCTGCCCTGTCAGTGCTGGGATTAAAGGCCTGTAGCCACCATGCCCTACTTAATTTATTTTCATTTTTATGTGGTGTTGGGGTTTGAACACAGGGAATCACATTGCCAGGCAAGCATTATAACACTAAGCTAAACCTCCAACCTGAACTTTATCACATTTAACAATTTTCTTTTTAAAGATTTCTTTTATTTTTTGAAACAGGGACTCACTGTAGTCCCAGATGGCTTACAACTCCCTACCTAAACTAGGCTGACCTCAATCTCTCAGAGATCTGCCTGCCTTGCCTCTGTTGTGTGTGGGTCTTTGTATGTTAGTGGAGGTGCCCTTGGAGTCCAGAAGTATCAGATTCCCTGGTGGTGTTGATGTGGGTGTGGGGAACTGAACTCAGGTCCTCTGGAAGAGCAGCATATGCTCTTAACTGCTGAGCCAACTCACCAGAGCCCCATAACTATTTTTAAAATACATTTCAGGGGCTAAGGAGATGGCTCAGCAGTTAAGAGCGCTGATTGCTCTTGCAGAGGACCTGGGTTCGATTCCCAGCACCCACATGGAGGCTAGAACTGTCCTTAACTCCAGTTCCAGGGGAATCCAAAGCCCTATTCTGACCTCTGTGGCATTTCAGGACACAGGTGCACTCACATATATGCAGGCAATACACTTGTACACATAAGATAAAAATAATAAAAATAAAATATTTAAAAAAAATACATTTCCGTGGCTGAAAACATTCAGAATAATGTATAGTCTTATCTTTCCTGAACTTAAAGCTTACTTGACTGTTATTTTTATTTCCTTCCTTTGGTGGTGACAAGAGCTTCCTATGCTGCTCAGATGGACTGGACCCCAGCAATCCCCTGCCTCAGCCTTGAACCTCGTACCATAGGCATGTCCCACTATTCCTGGCTCCCTTTTTGTTGCTGACATGGAAAAATTTATATTCTTAAATTCTTTTTGTTGAAACAGGGTCTCATTTTAACCTGGTTGCCCTGGTACATGCTGTGTAGTCCAGGCTGGCCTTAATATCCACCTACCTCTATCTGCCAAGTGCTGGGATTAAAAGTATGCATCACCAGGCTAGGCAGGTCTCTAACTAAATGCATATTATAGTCATGTTATAAAAATATTTTCTGCTATTCTATGCATTGCTTTTTTCATGCAAAACTTTTTTATGTGGAAGTTGAACTCAGGTATGTTTTTAAAAATATTTTATTTATTTTATGTGTATGAGTATATTGCCTGCATGTATGTGAGTGTCCTGCAATGCCACGGAGGTCAGAAGAGGGCTTTGGATTCCCCTGGAACTGAGTTAAGGTTGGTTCTAGCTGCCATATGGGTGCTGGGAATCAAACCCAGGTCCTCTGCAAAAGCACTCAGTGCTCTTAACTGCTGAGCCATCTCTCCAGCCTCTAACTTAGCTATATCTTATGTTGTTAATGCTTCTGATATCTAAGAGGTCATGGCCAAACTGAAAGTTATTATAGTACATGTGCACATAAAGTGTGTATGTGATGATGGGTGCTGGAACCAACAACCTGGGCCCTATCTCATTGTAGAGCTTTCACATTATGGTGTTAATGTTCAAGTGATTGACATTTTAAATTTCCCTTCAGTGCTATTACTACTGAACAAGTGATCTCCCACTGAGGAACAGCTTAAACATGATTGATCCATTTAAAATTACTTTTGTGTGTGTTAGGAATCCAGCTTGGCTTTCATATGTAAATACCAAGTTAACTCATGAACAAGTGGGTTTTTTTTGTTGTTCAGTATTTTCTTTGTCTTCATTATTAAAATGAATTGATTTTGTATGAAGGGGAGGAATTGTGGACTTTCAGTTTTAAGTGTATGTTCTCATACCAGCACACAATCTGACCTGTAAGTTTTGAAAAGTGTAGAGAAGTGACTACTGATAGGTTATTTATTTTGGTCTTTTTGAGACAGTCTCCCTGTAGCACCAGCTGGCCTGGCACTTCCTATGTAGACCAGGCTGGCCTTGAACTTAGAGATCTGCATGTTGATGCCTCCCAAATGTGGGATTAAAACCATGTGCCACCACGCCCAGCCTTTAAAAAATTTTAATTTAAAAAGAAAAATATTTAACTATTTGTGTATGTGTGGATTGCCAATATGTATACAATATGTAAGTGTGAAGTGTGCCAATGTCATGCACTGCCCATGAAAGTCAAAAGAGGATGTCAGATTCCCTTGGAACTGAAGTTAGGGACAGATGGTTGTTAGCCCCCATGTGGGTGCTGGAAATGGAACCTGTATCTTCTGCAAGAGCAGCCAGTGCATGTAACCACAAAGTTACCACAGACTACATTTATTTGAGACCCCCCCTCCTTTCCCTTCTTGATGTAGGGTCCCTATGCTGCCCCCTATGGTCATCAAGTGTTGGGCTCTCAGGGAGGCTCAACAGGTCACTGGCACTTAGAGCTGGTCCTTCCCCACCACTCCAGAATTTGAATATTTCCATAGATTTTTGGTTTTGTTGTCAGTTTGGGCTTTACCATGTACCTTAAGATATTCAATCCATAATACCTGGGAAGGCCATAAATCATGGGTGCTTAGATGTAGGCCCAGATTTTAGTTAAAAAGGGGAGAGAGGTGAATCAGTGATTGAGGGGTTGAGAGTGCATGTTGCTCTTGGCTCATCACCTGAAGCTCAAGCTCAGGTCTGCACCTGCACAGACAGACATACAGACAGACACACACACACACACACATACACACACGTACATTTACAAAGTAAGGGTAAAAATATCAGTCTGTAATTTTGAGAAAAAAGATTGTCAATGCTTAAGAAATGGGATTAAAAAACAAAGACTAAATGAATCAGAGTGGCAGACCCAACTGACAAAGGCTTTCTGCCAACCTTTGTCAGAGTTAGGATCCAGCAGCATGCCATAGGATCTTTGAACAATCCAGCCTGAGTAAGCGGAAAAGCTTTCTACCACCTAAGAATGCACAGAATCAATTACATGTATACTCAAAATTTGGGAGGTTGAGGAAAGATTGCCTGGGTCAGCCTGGGCTAAAAGACCAAGAGAACCCCCACCCCCACCCCTCCAGACACACACAAAGAGAAAGAACATTTTCCTCCTTGATTGAAAAAGGAACTCCTAACTCAGTTGTCCAAATAAGGAGGCACTAGATGTCATTCCAACACAGGAAAGGAGAGGAAAAAGGAAGGTTAGGGTTAGTAAACCTAGCTCTTTGGAGGCTGAAACACAAGATTTTAAGTTCAAAGCCAGAACCACAAAGAATCATCTCATTTAAAATACACACACATGTGCATGCACACACACACACACACACACACACACACAC